CTTGTTCATGTGTGAAACGTAGAAATTCATGATAGCTAGATTTGAACTGAAGCGTTTGCACATGAACAGAAATACTCTCCAAAAAAAAATCTTTAGCCCTCTACTTTGTTTTCGCCTATGAACTAAAAATTCCCCATGTGAAATGTCAAGCGTCCGCACCTGAGACGCAAGGGTACATGAAATATTTAAGCTTTTCAGAGGCAGAAAATTTTCACATGCCCACATGTGAACATGGGCATAAGCAGAAGCTGAATTAAAATTTGTGGAGTCGCACATGGACAAAAAACATTCTTCTAAAATTTCAGCTTCCAAGCCTTTGTAACTTTCATGTGTCCATAAGCGTTTTGTCTGCAACTTTTAGCCCAAAAATCGTTGCGTGATCGTGGTGCAAGGAAAGAAAGTGCATATTCTCGAAACTCAAATGATTGGCCTTGCTAGGCAATATGAGGAATCAGTGAACCTCTTCACATTACCAAAAAGAAAATCAAAGAATACTCGAAGTAGCAAGCACAAAAATGTGGAGATACTCGCAGTGGCAAGCACAGGAAAATGCAAAAGCAAATTAAGTGATTAATCCAACCAGCGAAGGAGAGTCGAAAAACATGAAATAACTTGAAACACATAAAAATCCTAGCTCAGCTCGAAGTGTCTTGCACCGGCTACCGTCTCGCTGTCGGAAATAATGATAATTACAATGAATTCGGTGCTTAAATACTTTTCTGCATCACAACGTTCCTCCTAGTACTGACCCTTACAGACGACTGAATATGCAAATTTTTAGTACGATGTGCAAACCGGTATTTCAGGTGCATTTATTATACAAGTTGTTATATGCTTATCTATTATGTGTCTTCATGCGTTTTTGTTTGCAGCTCTATAACGCTGCCACAGCAAGCAATAATTGGCAACACACGGGCTGCACTTGCAAAGATGCGTTTTTTGCAGGCCAATTTTTGTCGCTACCGGCATCGGTTTTTTCGGCAAATGCTTCAAGCTAAACAAAATAAGACTGGCTACCAGAACTGGAAGGAAACACCCCCCTTAAAATTTCAGCTTTCTAGTTTTTCTGGCTCCTGAGCCAGCAACTTACTGGAAAAAAATTTCACGCGCCCGCACGCGGACACGACGCATGCCCGGCGTCTGGGTTTGAGCTTGTTGAGACATACTTGGACGGGGAACATTCCCTCAAAGTTTCAGCTTTCTAGTGTCTCAGAGCCCCGAGTTATGAATTTACGTGGGAGAAATTTTGGCGGGCCCGTACGCGGGTACCACGCTTATCCGGGGGTTGGGTTTGAGCTCATTAGCGCCTACTTGGATGGGGAACATTCTCCTAAAATTTCAGCTTTCTAACATCTCAGAACTCCGAGTTATGAAATTACGCGGGGAAAATTTTGGGGGGCTCGTGCGGGAGTACCACGCTTACCCGGGGGCTGGGTTTGAGCTCATTAGCGCCTACTTGGACGGAGAAAATTCCCATAAAATTTCAGCGCTCTAGCTTTTCTGGTTCGCGAGTTAGCAGCTTACCCATAAAAACTTTGGCAGGGTCTTACGTGGGTGCCACACGGGAAAAACCGCCCATTTTGAGGATGGGGGCCCGTACGTGCATGTAGATTAACTCCCCAAAATTTCAGCCCTGTAGCTTTTGTGGGTCTCGACATGAAAAATCGGTACAGAGGCACAGCGCACACACAGACACACAGACAACCTCTCGTCAATATGCGTTTTTCGCATTACACTGCTGCAAAAAACGCATAAAAACGCACATTGGT